AGCGTTTATGCCAGCTAAACATTAATTTGCCCTACCTCGTCAAAAAAGTACTCTTTTAAAGTTTTTTAAATCGGTTCTTGTCAGAAAGTACTGTTGCTTCTGCAGCGCTGCTAGTGAGCCAGGTCTATGAATTGTCGTTGGTCTAGCAAGCACGTTGATAGCATGGCGCATCCAGCGAAATTAATACTTCGAAAGTGTTTTTTTTGTCTATTTAACGAATCTTTTTTGTTTCCACTCTCCACTATATTCAGATTCCGACAGGGAGAGTGTCCCTACAGTCTTGAAGCCTGCGGCTATTTCATGGATTCGACTGTTCCGCGTACAGTCTCCTTTCACCACAGTGCAGCACTTCCCAAGAAATCTCGCCGCCTATCCAGTAACACTTGACCCCCGAGTCCCTACATTTTTTTTCCTCTCCCCTCGCACTACTCCCCGTCCACTCGCTCCTACTTTACCCGCTCCTCCTTGGTTATTTCATTGCTGTAATTTATACGATCTAGTCAGTTTCCCCTCACTGTACTGCTCAAATTCTTTTTTTACCATCCTGTTGTTATCTTCGGTCTCGTAACTGAAAGAGATTCCTAGAAGACTAGTGATTATGTCTGTTAGACTGCTTGTATTTCAGTTTTTTCAAAAAAATTCGGAAATGTTCTGCAGATAACCGGTGTTGATTTCTTGTACTTCAAACAGAAGAATTCATTGGATAGGCGGAAACGTACGCTTATTATAGAAGCGACAAATGTCTCACTCGCACCAAGAATTGATGCCAAAGAAACATGCTTCTATTACGTATGTGCTTATCATTGCTTGTTAGTGGATTATTGTGCTACAGAAGTATGCTATAAATATGCAAATTTTGAGGTTAATCACTTCATGAGAATAATTTGGAGCCTTTGAATTGATACGGCAAAAGTATTTGAATTTCTTTGGCTGATATTTATAGTCAAAAAAAGTGTGAGCCACAAGAATGTTATGGTATTTTGTCTGGAAAACAGTCGTATCAGTGATGTCAGTTTGTAGGTGCACCCAGAAAACAATAATTGGACTTGTTTCGAGCAAAGTGCCTCGTTGGATG